TACATGAAAAGTATCTACAGCACCGCCTGGCACAGAATAAACACTCAATGGATGTCAGCTATTTTTATTATTAAGTGCCATAACTCTATGAACATTATTGTTGAATACAAAGGTGTAGGTGGTGTGAGACATACAGATGTCATAAAAGGCATGCACCCTTATCCTTAAGAAGCTTCCTCTCTAGTTAGACAGGACATAAATGGGGGAGGAGGGCAATATAATATCATTCACATGTCACTCGAATCAACTTCATTACTCAGAATAATGCAGAAAGGGCATGGACTTTGGAGCCAGGTAGATTTGGCTTCAGATTTGACTTCTGTTGCTAACCATTTATGACCTTCATAAGTTATTTCCCTTCTGATAAAGGGGTTGATAATGACTACTGCATAGGGCTTTTGGGAAGATTAAGTAAGATAATGCATACAAAGAGTTCAGCTGCTAGTAGACACTCAACACATATTTGTTCCCTTTTCCCACTCTTTCTGCTACAGAGCAGCTTAAGTTAAGTGTTAGGGGAAGACCCACAACAGTAATTTTAGGGAAGGGAGAATTCAGAGAACAGTGAAGTTTCATGGGTAGTTGTGGCCAATGAAGTTTTATGGCGAGATGGGATCTGAGCTCCTTTCCTGAAGGTGAGGTTAGGGAACAGAGAGAGGAGGAGGGGAGAATGTGTGCCAAAGCACTGGGGTACAAATGGACCAATTATGTGTTATAAAATACCTCAGAGTTATGTAGGGTGTCCAGTTTTTAAGATCTTTTATACTTGTTATCCTTTTAAACCACCACTCATCTGTCAGTTTGTCATACTGTGGTGGCTTGCATGTTGCTGTGATGCTGGAAGCTATGCTACTGGTATTTCACATACCAGTAGGGTCACCTATGGTAGACAGGTTTCAGCAGAGCTTCCATACTAAGACAGACTAGGAAGAAGGACCTGGCAGTCTACTTCTGAAAAAGTTGGCCAGTGAAAACTGTATGAATAGCAGTGGAACACTGTCTGATACAGTGCCGGAAGATAAGCCCCTCAGGTTGGAAGGCATTCAAATACTACTGGGGAAGAGCCACCTCCTCAAAGTAGAATCGACCTCAATGACATGATGGAGTCAAGCTTTCAGGACCTTCATTTGCTGATGTGGCAGGACTCAAAATGAGAAGAAATAGTTGCAAACATCCACTAATAATCAGAACATGGAATGTATGAAGTATGAATCTAGGAACTGGAAGTTGTCAAAAACGAAATAAACCACATAAACATCGATATTGTAAGCGTTAGTAAGCTGAAATGGACTGGTACTGGCCATTCTGAATTGGACAATCATATGGTCTACTATGCCAGGAATGACAAATTTAAGAGGAATGGCATCACATTTATTGTTAAAAAGGACATTTCAAGATCTATCCTGAAATACAATGCTGTCAGTGATATGGTAATATCCAAACACCTACAAGGAAGACCAGTTAATATGACTCATATTCAAATTTACACACCAACCACTACTGGCAAAGATGAAGAAACTGAAGATTTTTACCAACTTCTGCAGTCTGAAACTGATCAAACATGCAATCAAGATGCATTGATAATTACTGGTGATTGGAATGTGAAAGCTGGAAATGAAGAAGGATCGGCGGTTTGAAAATATGGCCTTGGTGACAAAAATGATGCTGGAGATCGCATGATAAAATTTTGCAAGACCAATCAGTTATTCACTGCAAATACCTTTTCTCAACAACATAAATGGTGACTACACACATGGACCTCACCAGATGGAATACACAAGAATCAAATTGACTACATCTGTGGAAAGAGACGATGGAGAAGCTCAATATCATCAGTCAGAACAAGACCTGGGGCTGACTGCAGAATGGACCATCAGTTGCTCATATGCAAGTTCAAGTTGAAGCTGAAGAAAATTAAGACAAGTCCATGAGAGCTAAAGTTCGACCTTGAGTATATATCCCACCTGAATTTAGAGACCATCTCAAGAATAGATTTGATGCATTGAACACTAATGACCAAAGACCAGATGAGTTGTGGTATGACATCAAGGACATCACACATGAAGAAAGCAAAAGGTCATTGAAAAGACGGGAAAGAAAGAAAAGACCAAAATGGCTGTCAGAAGAGACTCTGAAACTTGCTCTTGAATGTAGAGTAGCTAAAGCAAATGGAAGAAATGAGGAAGTAAAAGAGCTGAACAGAAGATTTCAAAGGGTGGCTCAAGAAGACAAAGTGATGTATTATAATGAAATGTGCAAAGACCTGGAGTTAGAAAACCAAAAGGGAAGAACACACCTGGCATTTCTCAAGCTGAAAGAACTGATGAAAATATTCAAGCCTCGAGTTGCAATATTGAAGGATCCTATGGGCAAAATACTGAATGCCACAGGAAGCATCAAAAGTAGATGGAATACACAGAGTCACTGTACCAAAAAGAACTGGTCAACGTTCAGCCATTTCAGGAGGTAGCATATGATCAAGAACTGATGGTACTGAAGGAAAAAGTCCAAGCTGTACTGAAGGCACTGGCACAAAACAAGGCTCCAGGAATTAATGGAGTATCAATTGAGATGTTTCACCTAATGGATGCATCATTGGAAGTGCTCACTCATCTATGTCAAGAAATTTGGAAGACAGCCACTTGGCTAACTGACTGGAAGAGATTCGTATCTGTGCCTATTCCCCTATTCCAAAGAAAGGTGATCCAACGGAATGCTGAAATTATCGCACAATATCATTAATGTCACATGCAAGTAAAATTTTAGTGAAGATCATTCAAAAGTGGTTGCAGCAGTACATCAGCAGGGAACTATCAGAAGTTCAAGTCAGATTCAGAAGAGGACGTGCAACCAGGGATATCATTGCTGATGTCAGTTGGATCTTAGCTAAAAGCAGGGAATACCAGAAAAATGTTTACCTGTGTTTTACTGACTGTGCAAAGTCATTTGACTGTGTGGATCATAGCAAATTATGGATAACATCGTGAAGAATGGGAATTCCAGAACATTTCACTGTGCTTATGTGGAACCTGTAGATAGACCAAGAGGTAGTTGTTTGAACAGAATGAGAGGATACCGCGTGATTTAAAATCAGGAAAGGTGTGTGTCAGGGTTGTATCCTTTCACCATACCTATTCAGTCTGTATGCTGAGCAAATAATCTGAGAAGCTGGAAGATATGAAGACGAACACGGCATCAGGATTGAAGGAAGACTCACTAACAACCTGTGATACGCAGATAATATAAGCTTGCTTGCTGAAAGTGAAGAGGAGTTGAAGCACTTACTGATGAAGATCAAAGACTATAGGCTTCAATATGGATTATACCTCAACATAAAGAAAACAAAAATCCTCACAACTGGACCAATAAGCAACATCATGATCAATGGAGAAAGCGTTGGAATTGTCAAGGATTTTCTTTTACTTGGATTCACAATCCATGCCCACAGAAGCAGCAATCAAAGAATCAAACGATGTATCGCACTGGGCAAATCTGCTGCAAAAGACCTCTTTAAAGTGTTGAAAAGCAAAGATGTCACCTTAAGGACTAAGGTGCGCCTGACCCAAGCCATGGTATTTTCAATCGCCTCATATATTTGCGAAAGCTGGACAATGAATAAGGAAGACCGAAGAAGAATTGATGCATCTGAATTATGGTGTTGGCAAAGAATATAGAATATACCATGGACTTCCAGAGGAATGAACAAATCTATCTTGGAAGAAACACAGCCAGAGTGGTCCTTGGACAGGTTATCAGGGGGGCCAAGTCCCTGGAGAAGGACATCATGCTTGGTAAAGTAGGAGGTCAGCAAAAAAGAGGAAGACCCTCAACGAGATGTACTGACACAGTGGTTGCAACAATGGCTGAAACACAGCAGTGATTGTGAGGATGGCGCAGGACTGAGAAAAGGAAGAGGTTCCAGGCTGAGGGAAAAACAAAGGGAATGTCCCTGAGGTAGGAACAAGCCTGGCACATTCAAGGTGCAGAAAGAAGGCAGCAGGGCTGGAGTGATAGGTGAGCAGCCAGATTCTGTAAGGCCTCAAAGGCCCACATGAGTGTTGAGGTTTAATTCCAAGTGCCTTTGGAGAATTTTAAGCAAAAGTAACATGATCTGATTTGCATTTTAAAATTATCACTCTGGTTTCCCTGTGGGAACTGGATTATACGAAGGTGGAAGCAGGGAGTCACTTAGAAGGTTGTTGTCATAGTCCAAGCACGAGATAAAGTGTGACTTAGGTTAGATGAGAGCAGGGATGGAGATAAGCGGATTTGGGATACAGTTTGGAGGTAGGGATCAAAACTTGTGAGGAAGGCACTATATTGCCCAAGATTTCTGACCTTTTTTCCTCATTTTCAGTTGAAAAGGGTGCTTTTAGGAAGCATAAACTAATTTACCTATTGATTTAATCAAAACACAGTAAAAGCTGGTTTGTCTAGTATTCTATTTGCTGGACTTTGCTATTAAGCAGGAACTTTGGTATATTTAGAATGGTAATTGATGTTTAGGCTCCTGTGGTCATTGTTAAAAACCTAAAATGCCTTATAAATCACAGCATTGTTATATCGTATTCAACAGAGTTTATGGTGTCTTCTAAAACCAATTATCTGTGTACTATATATTTTCACCAGAACTTTTGACTAATCAGAATATTCTATTCCCCACTAAACCAGTTAATTATGTTCATTACAGAAGTAATTTTTAGATTCTGTATATCACTGCTGCTTTATGAGTATGGAGAAACAAGAGTTAGTGGTATTATTTGTATTTTGAAAGAAGACAGGAAGTAAAAACAACAAAATGCTAACAGTGAGTATCTACAGATGGTGTGATTATGTGTGACGTGTGTCATCTTTCTTTCTGTATTTTCCAAATTCCCTACAATTACATGAATTATTTTCAAATTAAAAAAGTTGTTTTTTTAAAAAAAATTCATTATATTTAGAAAGGTACTATATATTACTAGAGATCATAGTGGGAGACTATATAAATGACATTATAGCTACTGTGCAAGTTTTAATTTTTTTTTTTTTAAACAGATTTACCGTAAACTTCCAAGGTTTTTACGCCTGCTTATGGATTCCTTGAGAAAAGACAAAATAGTCTTCCCTAATGATGAAAAGTAAGCTAATGATAAAAAAGATGTCCATTATTACTATATCCACAGGATTCTGGGGTAATTATTGTGTGACTTACTGGATGGGGAGATGAGAAGTCTAAATATCATTCTTAGATGGGCACTAGGAAGTAGGGAAAGGTGTCCACAAATTTTCAGCATTTGGTATTTTCTTCCTGTCTAATTCAATGACTTCACCAATTCAATCCTTTATCTGATGTCATAAAGGAAGTTGTAGGTTTAAAGTGTATGGCATCCTCTAGTGTCTAGACTAACACACCCCAGGGGAGGCCTCACTTCTAGACCTTATTCCCCAAGTAACCACAGCCCATCCACCATCCGGCCCACTAACCCAACAGCAAGTACAATGACCAGAATTTGGCAAGTTAGCCTCTTGCAGTTGGAGATTTAAGAAGGCCTCAACTATGTAGTAGTTATCAATATATATATATATTCTATTTCAACACACTTGAGGGACCTAACATTCTCAGGAATAACAGCAGATTACTGTGATGGGATGGATGGGTACTGGAATTTGGGGGAGAGGGAAGTATTGTTTTAGAAAGTTCTTGGAGTGGGGACAAGTCATTCTTCATGCCATAGCCTTTTTGAATTACCAAAGTAGGAGGTTGATTGGGAAGCTAATCAAGTCTGTTAAGTGCATGTCCACCCTGTACATACAAGGGGAAAAGGAAATAAATCACAACAAAGAGGTTTCTTTGGTCTTGTGGTAGTTCTTGTTATTTTTGAGTTTTTTTGTTTTATAGTCATTTAGTTAAAATATAATAAAAGAAGATGATGAAGTTCTTCCAAAGCCGTATAAATTCAGTATTTCAGTGTCGTCTTTGGTATATTTCAAAATCACACAGAAGAAAATACTACCCTATTAGATTGTATGAGTAAATGGAGGAGAGGGAAGCTTGCCTAGAGAAAAAGAAGTTACTATATGAAGCTTATGGTGTTATTATTCCTGGAAAGGAAGGAAAGAGGTATCTTTTATTTTGGGCAAACCTCATGCTTTGCTAAAGCTTTAACTTAGGAGAAATCCTAACGTATAACTCTTGAACTGAATGCTTTTCTTTCACTTGTCCCAAGTGTTAAGTTCCTGTCTTCCCCCCTTCTCATCATACATGGAGAGGATGACAAGACAGTGCCTTTGGAGTTTGGAAAAAAGGTAAACTAGTTCAGTGCTGACCAAAACATAATATACTTACTTCAGCATTTTCTTATCTGACCAGGCTTTTACTATAATAAGAGCCCTAAGGAGGGTCTCTGACATCATAAGGGATTCTGTACACCCCTAAATGGCCACGCTGCCCTGTAGGAGGAGGTGTATACAGTGAGCATCAGCATACTATGCTACTTATCTCAAAGGAGTGTTTGAGGGGGAAGAGCCTGGTTCTTTATCCAGAGTCTGTGGGTTTGCAAGTATATACAAGGTTCCAGGCCACTGTGGGAACCTCTAGGTAGTCTCTCTAGATTAGTGGCTATAAAAATGGAGATGTGGTTTTTTAAAAACAAAACAACAGACCTCTACTAGTTTGGGTCCATAGGAATTCCTGGTCCCCTGGAAGTCAGGCCTGGGCAAGGGACCGATGAGGTTTTCTCAGTGTCTCTATCAGCTGTGTGGATTCAGTTCATGAGCTGCAGAGACGGCTAACTGCAGATGTGGAGAGACCCCATGCCTCTGACTTAATGGGACTAACTACCCAAACTGGCTGTTTCTGTACCCTTTTAGGAACTCTGGACTAGGAAAACCATGGCTTTGTTTGTCAACTTTTGAGACTTTCTGTCCTTTGCAGCTCTATGAAATCGCATACAACGCATACCGGGATAAAGAGAGGGTCAAGATGGTTATCTTTCCTCCTGGCTTCCACCACAACCTCCTTTGTAAAAGCCCCATACTACTAATAACTGTAAGGTAAGAGCTGCTTTGCTAAATGTGATTATCTTTCCCTTAAAGGCAATTAGGGTTGCTCTGGCTTACTTAGACGATGAGGTGGGGAAAGCATATGAGCTGATCTGGGTTATTTTTCTGCAGAGATTTCCTGAGCAAGCAGTGGGCATGAGACAATGGTCCTAGAGCAGCAGAAATCTTCAACGAAGACTTGGTCCAAACACCACCTGTGATGTGTATTTTTTGATGTAACATTTTACTGGGTTGCTTGGATGAGCTGAAGTCATTGACGTTTCTACAAGTCACTGGCCATTTTAATAAGGGGAAGCATGGATGCTAGGCCGCATATCCTATCATTTGGCCTATCAAAGTCTACTTTGTGAAACATGCTGAAACCTCACTGTGGAAAATCAGAACTTGGTAAAGTTTGGATCCCATCTAAAAATGTGTACTTACCAAACATCCGGGATATTTGTGAGTAAGGTGGTCTCTGACTTGGACTTAGACAACAAGTGTAAGAAAGGTGCTCCAATGTAGTTAAATCATTTGTATTTTACTCAGTTAATTTAAATGACATTAAAAAGTTCCAAGCAATTCTGAAAGCTTTCTGACTAGCTCTGGGGAAAGTACTGGCATGCTACCCATTCTGCTATAACATATTAAGTTTTGGCACTCATGTAGCCCTTGGAATTGACACTTTTTTTTTTTTTTTAGCCCTCATACAATCAGACCCTTTCTCTCCTCCTTCCCAACGATACTTAACTAGATTATTAGCAAATAAAACAAAGTCAAGGAATGTTAAAATAAAAAGTTCAAGTTCAGTAACAAGCTGTTTTTTCTAGACATTTTACAACTCAGTTTCCTCTGGCTTTGTTCACCCCGTTGCTAGATTCATTAGATAGGGAAATCTTTAGATCTGAAGGCTCCATGTTCCAGATGTCCTTGGCATATTCCTTAATTGTTCGGTCACTGGAGAATTTCCCCGCGGCAGCTATGTTTTTGAGTACCATTGTGTTCCAGGCCTTTGGATTCTGTAAACAACACATATATATATATACTGTCCAGGGCCTGACTGCCCAGTGAGCTTTATGACAAACATCAGGCCAAGCACATTTCATGGGGAAAGTGACAGGGATAAACTGGGGTGAATCATAAATATACTCGTTACACAGTTGAGAGCTAGGTAGCACAGACTCATATTTAGAGTTCATTTCTCTTAAGAATGAAGGGTAAAAAGAAAGTATTTTGCATTTTAAGAGAAACCAGAGATGGAAATTCTGTAATTGGTAATCCCTGCTACGGTTACAACATTTTGTATTTCTCGTCCTTTCTTATAAATGATGAAACCTCCCTTCCAAACTACAGGAGGAATGAAGGGACTAACATTTCTGTCTACCAGATGCCAGGCTTTAGGTCAAGAGCTTTAACCTGTGGCTCACAATCAAACTTCGAACACTACTCTAGAATGTTAGTTATAATGCAGGCAAACAATCCTACTTAGCTTATAGACCTACGTAGCTTTTATTGTTGTTTCTGGAGATAGATAACCCAGTAAAATTTACACTGAGCCCCAAATACTTTATTGGGGTTTCAAAACAGGGTCAATCAAGGCCTTATTCCTAATAAAAAATCAAAATCTTATAATTTTTATATCAAAGAATATGATAAAAGGGTATTTATTTTTACAGCCTCAGGCCTTAGTAAAGAACTTTAAAAGTTCATTGGAAATAACAGGACATTATTCAAAGATATTAGCAATATATTATGAGCATTTAAAAGAAAAATAAAAACAACTACCTTTATTGTTTAAGGTACTACAAAACAGTGTGAACTGGTTTATTCACACTTTGGAAAATAAGAGAATGAAAGCTTCTGCTTTTTACTTCCTTTAACTATTTAAATGGATAATGAATAGACTTCCCAGTCATGCTGGACATGTTTTCTAAGCCTCGATAATACCATGATTGTTAAGAGTAAAAACTCCAATTACATGTTAACTCCATGTGCACCAATGAGCAAGACTGACTGACTAGAATGCTGGGTTTTATATGGGCATCCTTTGGATGTGGGCCATAGCTTTAACAGAGGAGACCCATTGTGTTAAACTGACATTCACATTTGTCCTTGCCCTTGTTCATATTTTCCTTTCTTCTCTGTTTTATTTGTATTTCTTGTCTGTAGCCTTTCTACATGCAAAGCATCATGCATACCCATAGGAAAAGGCAAGAGGTGGCCATTCTGTTTCCTGTCTTTTGAGTATTTGGGGGCTGTATGTGGTTTTCTCTCTCCAATGGCCAGGAAGCAGGAAGTGAGTCACTCAGCCTAACTAGCACTGCTCTGCCATAGTCATGGCCATTAACTTGAACTTACTCTGGTCTATATGCTGTTGGGGAACTGGATATGACTCTACCAGAAGATAAGGGCCTTGAATGATCCTATTTTAAAATCCCAACGGAGCATCTGGGATGACCGTAGGAACCACCTTGTTACCTGCCTTGAATAGAACAAAATGTGTTAGTGAAGCATGTTTCTGTTGGGAGTAGCTACCCTTGTTCAAAGGGCAGGAGGTGATTTTATGGACCCCCTGCTCTTCTACTCTATAACGGCTTTTTTTAGAGGGCAACAATGGAGACTACCGTGGACAAGGGCAAAGCCATACCCAGAAAGCTCAAGGGCCTAGAGTGCATCGACCTCAAGAAACTCACTCTGGAGTCTTGGCACAGCGCTAGCCTCATCCTGTATACTGAGTCCAGTGCTTGCAATCCACTAAGAGTCTTTACTATTAGAGATGATCAACCGGAACAAAATGCACCTAAAAGTTTATCTGATAAAGATATATAACTCTGCATGTGACATGAAGTGCTAATCACATGGTTCTAGCCTTTTTTGGATATAGTCTTTCTTGTTTCCCTCCTTTTTTTTTTTTTTTAACCTCCTCTTTCTGTACATTTATACATTTTATTTATATAGCCCTACTTTGTGAGTAATCTAGAAGTATTGACTTCGCAATTTTCAAAGGCGAGTGGGTCAGTCCTTATCTAGTAAACTAGTACTCAGCCAAGGAATCCTCTTAGCTGGTGTCTCAGATACATGTGGGGACCCCACCCACTCCTGGGTCAGAATCCCTCAGAGGGAACCTGACATCTGCACTTTGAAAAAGCTGCCTCTGTGAGTCTGATGTGAACCTCCAGAAGAAAACCTCAGAACTAAACAGCATCCTTGAGGTCTTCAGGAGGAGCCTGACTTTTTGTTCCTCTCATGTCTCAGTGCCTAGCACAGTGCCTCTCTGTTGAATAAATGAACAAATAAAAGGCGTATTTACAGTAAAGTAAGGCGTTATATCCTCGGCATACAGGACATGCCTGTTGAATGGCAGGTGTTCAATAAATATTGAATTATTTATGATATTTTTGCTTGGGCATTAAAAAATTTAAAACTGCTACTGAAATGCCAATTCCAACCTTTGCCTGAACTTGGGAAAAGCCAAGTTTTGGTCGGAATAACTTCTCTTTTTTGATTTGTTAGTGGCGCCCTGCTAATTAGATTTAATAAAAAGGAACAAAAGTTTTAATTAACCACAGTAAACTGGTTTCCTTTATAAATCTCGGCAACGTACTCACCATGTACAGCTGACTGACTTTTTCTTGACACTTGACATAGGCTTCGTAGTCTGCAAAGACTTTAAACCTTTTTTTTTTTGGTATGTGTGATTGAAGGGAAAAAGCAACAGAAAACTTCGTTAACAGACGCATGCTAAGATTTCATTTAAAATTCCCTTTTGCTTAATGTCAGGCACGGCTGGTTTACCAGACGTGTTTCTATTCATAAGAATTTTAAGCAGCCCTCAACCTTTTTATGGTTATTCCATATTAGTCCTTAAGAATGTCATCATACAGATGCAATTGAAAGCTGGGCACACTAGTGGAAGGAGAAAAAGAATACCTGATTTATGGGTCTTATTTTTAAACCTCACTAGCGTTGTTAGTAGAGAATATCTAAATTTTCTTCCCAAGCTTGGGTTAGTTTATTAGATCACAGATCTATACTAACCTAAATGGATGGGTTGTAGTTGGTTTAAGATGTTCTATTACCCTTTTACAGCCAAAAGAACCCTGTCCTCTTGCAGGAACTCACCTGTCATGATAAAAAAGCATGTTGATTATATCTTTGAAGAGGTCAGGCTGCTTGGGAGAAAAGAAGCCATTATCAATTTGATCAATGACCAGCTTCAGCTCTGGAAGGGCTTCATAATATTCGTTTGCGTTATACCTTTGGAAGGGGGTGATAAGAAAAAGGTTCTGTTAGTGTGTGTGATTAACAGAACACTAGGTACATTAGCTATGCAAACGCATGACTTCCAGAAATACTAGCACTTACAGAAGGCATTACAGATTTCAACATGGGTACAAGTAATTTTAGGCTAGATCCTGAACTTTTTATTTTTCCTCCTAAATTTGATTAGTTCTTTATAACTGAAGACAATACGAACAGTAGATTATGAAAATTCTAGCCACAGGGCAATAGTCTAATCTGTTAGAATACAGCAATATCCATTTCAAAGCAGATATCATAGCTCTAAACAAGCACTTATATTAAGTGGACAAATTGCTTTTTGGACCCACCAATTCTCAAGATTTATTTTGCTACTAAGTGAAAATTTACTTCCAGGGGTCAGGAAGTATATTCAACACCCTCCAAATGTTGTGATCCCAACAGATCCTTCAGGCAGCACTCTTTATTTCTTGTTTGAACCCAGGTTAATAAACCTATCGATATACACAGAAACAAATATTTCCGAGTGCTTCTGTAAATTCATATCTGTTCTCTACCACATTTCAGTCCATCTATTTGAGATCTTAAAGGAACACTAGAGAGTAGTTTAAATTATAGGCAAAAACTTCAACTAGAACTTGGTTCATCTTTTGATCAAAGTGAAAATCACAGATATGGAGAACTGAATAGCTCATTAAGGCCTGCTCTGCAATGGCTGATATCAAATAGCAACTACTCCAAGCTCCTTTTTCTTTTACTTGCTGGGTTCAGTAAGACCATTCTGTCACCAGGAGGCTCCCGTTTCCTCATGTGAGATGGCCTGCTCCTGTGTCTCATGTGACCTAGCCTCAGTGGGATACTTTGTGGTCAGGCAAGTCCTCTGAGCTCATGTACCCTCCTGGAGGTGACCTGCCCAACAAAGAAGAGATGTTTGCTTACCCTTTCTCGTCCAGAGCAGCCACATCATCTACCCTCATGCCGAAGATGAACAAGTTCTCTTCCCCGGCTTCCTCTGCCATTTCCACATTGGCCCCATCCATGGTTCCGATAGTCAGGGCCCCATTCAGCATAAACTTCATATTGCCTGTCCCTGAGGCTTCGGTGCCTGCGGTGGAAATCTGCTCCGACAAATCTGTGGCTGGAATAACTACAAGCAAGACATGTTAAAATTAGTGATTCTGTTTCTCTAGATTTGCTTGTATTACAGCCAAGCATTTATCTAGCTAGCCTGCTTTGCTCATTAAAGTAGTACATGCACATCAAAATTACCAGTCAAATGGTATAGAAGGACAAATCTTACTCTTTCCCCATGACTCAGGCAACCACTTTTGTCCATTTTTTAATGTCATTTCTTGGTAGTTATCTCCACAATGCTAAATACGCAGTCCCCAGTTTATGAATGAGCTCTGTTAGTTCCTAAGTCTGTCTTTAAGTCGAATTTGTA